CTTATTGTGCTCATTGTACAGATTGTATATTTCTAATAAAAAAAAAAAAAAAAATATATTTTATATTCTCTACGCCAAATAAGTAGGCTGAACTATTCCTCGTGACTTATAACATAAATGTTTTAATATTTATTATTATTGAAATATAAAAATAACTTTCAATGAAAATAGTTTTCTTATTTTAAAAGTTTAATTGTGTTCATAATTTCAGTACCGAGTTAAAAGTATAAATAATTAAAACATGAAATTGAAATACTAGAAACGGTTATTTGATAAAAAATTTCAATATATTTATTTCATAATTTAATAATTCATAATAAATAAAGAAGTAGTCATTCAGTTATGTAAATAACTGAATATGCGTCAATACAAAAAAAATTATTATATTCAACAGTTTTTTAAGAAATTTTTAGTCAAATCAAAGTATTTAGCTACATTAAAATTAGGACGAATAAATATAATATAATGTAAACCATTTCAACTTTATTTTTATCATTAATTTGTTTACTAATTTTTTACATTGATCAAATTGAATTAGATGAATAGTTAATGGAAAACATAGAATATTTGGACAATGAATTGATAGCAATAACTACAAAAGACCTAAATAAAAAAGAAATTATATTTCATAAGTCGTTTTTGGAATTTCAGATATTTGTAAATCAAGAGAATTCAAATGAGATTCACCCTTATTATAATAAAGCAATGGTGAATCAATCATTGAAATATGTATATGTATTGATCTATTATATTATAATGGCAGCTAAACTTATGAAATATGATAAACTTATTGTAAAATTCAGTACCACAATATATACTATGTGTGATTATTTTAAGTTTATGCGTTTAGAAAATGAAAACCTAGAAAACATCAGAAACATTTTAGAAAATTTCAAAAATTACAAAAATTATCCTAAAGAACCTTATTTTTTTCCAGATTCTAAATTTGTGCGCCATGTTTTAAATCATATTATACAAATAATAACTGATTATTTTGAAGGTCAAAAAATGTTAGGGTTCCTAAAAGATTGGAAAGAGTACAAAACTGTTATAAGTAAAAACTTAAAAGTCAAAAAATATTTTCCACCAACTAAAACTAAATTAAAAAAAACACAGCACAAGGGGAGTCGCAGCACAGCGGTGACGTAGCATAGTTGGATCAAGTATAATGATATCTGACAGTGATTAAAATCACTATCAAAAATAAACGCTTCGATGCAAATCTTTAGATAGTGTTTAATTTTAAATAAATTGGTGTTTTATTCCAAAAGCTACTTGATCTGCTGGCTGCTTATTAATATCCTGATTAAGATAAAATATGTCAAATGAAAAAGGGATTGTTAAAAAATATTATTTCTCATAAAAAAATTGTGTGGATCCATAAACTTTTCAATAAGTTATAGCATTATATGTTAAATATAATATAAATAATAAAAACGAGAATTTTCAAACAAAAATTGAATTCAGTAGCCATTTTCACCACGAAGACAAGTCCAGAGGTCAAATTTTTTTTTTTCAAATTAAAGTATATTACATTAGCTTTAATTTAAGATATATATAAAAGTGTCAGACCTTCCGGAACACTTTCAAAAGTTAAGTTGAAAAAGTTCTACTTTCTATATGCATTTTTTATATTTGAAGCCCCCCCATATATAGGGAAATAGTCTGATTTAAAAAAAAAGTATATCCAATGAAAGATGTATATAAATACTACTTCTCATGAAAAAATTGTATTGATCCATACATTTTTTAAAAAGTTATAGCACTTTAAAGTAAAAAATGTAAATTATAAAATCGAGAATTTTCACACAAAAATAGCATTCGATAGCCATTTTCACCACGAAGAAAAGTCCAGAGGTCAAATTTTTTTTTTTCAAATTAAAGTATATTACATTAGCTTTAATTTAAGATATATATAAAAGTGTCAGACCTTCCGGAACATTTTGAAAAGTTAAGTTGAAAAAGTTAATTTTTTGTAAAACAGTTGTCATTTTAAATCCCCCCCTGTGGGCAGATAAAGGGTCAGATTTACAAAAAAAATATACCAAATGATAAGTAAAGACATCAAGCATCTATATAAAAAAAATTTATATTCATATGTTCATTTTTGAAAAAGTTACGGCAGTTTTTCGTAAAAAAAATTTCGAAAATTAGCGATTTTTAAATTTGTAATTTTTTTGGAGGTTTCCCCCTTTTACGGGGAACGAGGGAATTTTTTAAAATTTTTAAGGGTAATGTCTTCGACTAGATACGATGTGTGATCTTTTGACGTATCGTTGAAAGAAATCCGTTCGGTGAGAGCTGAGAAAAAGTGGTAACAGACACAAAAAAAAAATAAACACATCATAGTAAAACCAATACCTTCTCAGCTTCGCATCGAAGCTAAAACTTTATTTTGCATATCAAATATACATATTATGAAAATTTTTCACAAAAAATCTTAAAAAGTTATTTTTTTTGTATGTATGTTTAATTAATCGTCAGTAAGTTAACATAAATTTTAAAAAAATGCTGACACAAAGGAACTTAGTTTTCACTAGTTTTAAATAACATAAGTTTCTTCCCCTTTTATGACAAAATCATATGACCATTAATGTTTTATACCATTTGTTCTTATTAATATTCTATCCATTAACATTATATTAATAGATTTGATAGTTTAATCGATATATCAATAGATTACTTTTGTCATTACTTCATCACATCACTTAATATTAAATAATATAATTCACCAGAATTTTATAACTTTGTTCAGTAACTTACACCAAATTGTAATTATTAAAATATATAAAACAAAACAAAGTTATTATTAAATCTAAAGAAAAAAAAATTATGCACTATTATTTATTAAAAAAATGAATACAAATTATGTATTGTAAGTATCGAACATTTTAACAGTAATTCTAGTATAAATAAAGTTAATAAGGGTTTTCAAGGTTAAATTAAATTTAAACAATGTTTTTACTATTTACAACAATTTTCTTCAAAGAATATGTATTGATGAGAACCAAAATAAATGAAGAATATTCGTTTAAGAATAAAGAATATTTCTAAAAAAAAAGTTAAATTATGACTAAAGGTCAAATATTTTCTGTTGATTTTGGTATCGTTCTAATGTTAAATATGGATGATTATGAAAATTTATAAATCTCTTATGAATACTACAATGAAGCCATAACAAATTAATTGTTAAAAAATGTTTATGTTTAAGTCCATTGATTTAAAATGATAGTTGAAATAAATAAATACGATCGATTTTTTTTTTATTTGATAAATAGTATATGTTTACAGATCATAGTAAACAATAATGTTAACTATGAAAATTTTATTAATTTTGTTGAAATTGAAAGTGATATTCTAAAAAATATTTTTATCACATAAAGAAAATTAATTAAGCTTAATTTTTTGATAAATGACCTCTACACATGATAATATACTTTTCCCATCATTCAATAATTAATGAGTATCCGAAAATTCAATATGTTAAAAATACATAAAAGAACAAATTTAAAAACAAAGAATAAAACTAACTAAAAGAAAATAAAGTATAGTAGAGATACAGAAAAGTGTTGACTTTATTTAGATTAGTATTGTTTAATACCTGACAGTGGTAAAATCGTTGTTGTAAAACGCTTGATGCGTATTTGAAACAAATTCAAAAAAATTTAACACATCCACTTAAAATTACATGTTTTTCAACTTAATAAACTAATTATTTAAGAAGACAAATTAACGGAACATCTTTGTTTTTTTATTCATGGAGTACAGGGGTCAGCAAAAACGTTGCCATCTTTACTAATAAAATACATCTTTCTACGTATTAAGATTAGATCATATTAAGTTTAAAAGATTTCTGTTATTAATTCTAATAAATGTATTTATTTTTTAACCATTTTGCTCACTATACAAACTAATTGAGTTCCTCTGATATAGTTGATTAAATTAAATAAAGTTTGGTTTATTATTGAACTATGTACAATAAAAAATGAACACAACTAAAAAATACCAAAAATAATTTTCTTAATATAATTATTTTTTTTTTTACAATCAAAACATAAATAAATACATAGTTTTTCACATTTGTTTTGTGCATGAAAAGGTGTAACCATTGCTAAACTGTTTATATATATATAGGAATTGTTGATTAACTTATCTTTAATATATTATTTTGCTGCTTGTTTATCATCATGTTATACGATTTTAAATAAAAAATTGTTATAAATTAAAATTGTCTTAATAAAAATAGTTAAAAAGTTTTTTTTATATAATTCTATTAAATAATATTACATTGTGTTGTTAGTTGTATTATATTTGTTAATATATTTTATTTTTAATAAAAAGCATATTATAAAATATAAAAGCAATATTATATATTTTGTATTTATTTTTTTCAATTTTAGTACTAAAATTTTACAAAAGTATTTTTTTTATTTGTATATACAAATAAATTTATTTATTTTTTACCTATTTCGTAGTTGACATTCTATTTATTATTAAACTAATTTTTCTATAATATTATGATTGTATTCGCAATCAAATTTGGATATTTACTGTTTTGAGTAATTTTAGCTTCAATGCAAAGATGAGAAGGTATTGATGTACCATGATATGTTTTCTTTTTTTTTTTTAAGTGTGTCTATGCATCAAAAACCGATTTTAATCTAGTTGAATCTATTGTAACCCAAAATTGGATAAAACCCTATCGATATTAGAAATTTAGAATAATATTTCAAAATTTTGATGTTGTAGAAAATACTATTTTCATAACATTTTTCTGAATTTTAAAACTACTATAACTTTTATTAAAAACACTGATCCTAGGAAAATAATATGACGAAAATATAAGTGATCAAATATAATAATTGGTTAGGAATCTTCATCGATTTGCCTATTGCATTATGTTTTTACTTGTCTGTAACATCATTTACTGTATAGATACGTAGATTATATTTAAATTTTGATAATTAAATGGTTAATTTTTTAACAATTATGTTACAGCGTGCGATTGTCATCCCATTGGTGCTTCCGGAAAAACATGTAATCAAACCAGTGGCCAATGTCCATGCAAAGATGGTGTTACCGGAATTACATGTAACAGATGTGCTAAAGGATATCAACAGAGCAGATCACACATAGCACCATGCATAAGTAAATTTTCAAAGTATTTTACATTTTATTTTAATTAAATTTTAAAATAATAATTAATTTTAAAAATTCAGAAGTACCATCGAAAATTTCGGTTAATCAGATGTCAGCTGATGCTCGTGCCGGAGGTGGAGGTGACGAAGGTGACTACGAAGATGAAGATGATCATCGAGGTATTTATATCATTCCAATTTGATATTTCAAAAATATTGTTAAATAATGCGAAGGAGCTTAAGGGTTCAAATTTATTTAGATATAATTAAATTTAAATAATGAGAAATGATAATTACAATAATATGTATTTAATTTAAAGAATTTTTGATAAATATCACTATACTTATAAAAAATCTTTTGTGATATTAAATTTACTGAAAATAATAGTCTTTTTAATTTTTAATTTTGCATTCATCTAATTTTTTTCTCATTATAAATAAAGAATAGTTGTAACATTTATAAATCTTTAATAAAATTTTAGCATAAAAAAAAAATAATTTAGCTAAGACTTTATTTTGCTAAATCATTTGAATCATAAATAAAGATATAATATATTATATACATACACAGTGATTATTTTAACGCTAGCCACTTGATATTTTTAGAGATTTTTAAATTAATGATTTGCTTGAGGCTCTTGTTAGTTATATTAGTATTTCCATTTAACTATTATAAAATATTTTTTATGTTCATCCCTTAAGTCTTATAGGGTTGTCAACTGTATATTTTAAATGGCAACATACATATATAACTAGCTTATAAAAAAGAAAATGGTATAATTAAGAAAATTACTAGTCGATAACGACTTTTGTACAAGTATTTTAAAAGTAATTAATAATTTAAAGTAATGTCTGGAAGCAAGAAGTGCTGCTGCTATTGTTATCACTAGATATTTATTTATCCAACTCTTCTTCCTGTCTAGGTATAAAAATGTTAATAACTTCTGAAATACTGGTCTAAAAGTAGTTATGGACAAGTTATTTTTTTAATTAGATAAGTGATTAAAATCACTATCATAAGAAACGCTTCGATTCAAATCTATAGATAGTGTTTAATTTTAAGAATTTGGTTGATAATACCAAAAGCAACATCAACTCTTATTTCATTTATTATATCCCGATTAGTGGTTTTCTCATAAAAAAAATTATATTGATACATACATTATTCAAAAAGTTATATAAATATAAAGTAAATAATGTTAAATATAAAATTGAGAATTTTAACACAAAAATAGCATAGGGTAGCCAATTTCATCGTGAAGGCAAAATAAAGTACGAAATTTGTTTTTTCATAATAAAGTATATTACATAAGCTTTAATTTAAGATATATATAAAAGTGTCAGTATATCCAAAATACTTTCAAAGTTAAGTTGAAAACGTCAATTTTTTGAGGAAGAGTTATCATTTTGAATTCTCCCCTGCGGGCAGGTTGGGTTGAGTTTTCAAAAAAACTATACCAAATGATGGGTAAATGCCTAATGTATCTATAAAAAAAAGTTTTTATCCATATATTTTTAAAAAACTTATGGCAGTTTTAAAACAAAATAGTTGAATAAATGTCAAAAATTACTGATTTTAAAAATTGTAACTTTTTGGGGGATTTGTCTCATTTACGGGGAATGAGGGAATTTTTTTTCAATTTTTGAGGATAAGATCTTTTACTAGATACAATTTGTGATATTTTAACGTATTTTTCATAAAAATCAGTCCAGTGAGAGTTGAGAATAAGTGGTAACAGACACAAAAAAAAATTAAACACATAATAATAAAAAACTATCTGCTTCAGCTTCGCACCAAAGATATAAAGGATGAACATGAAAAATATTTTATAACAGATTAATGTAGATACATATGGAACTAACAAAATCCACAAATAAATTCACAAAAAAGTTATTATTTTAAGAAAAATCAAGTTGCTAGCATTAAAAGAATCACTCTGTATATAATTATAAACTATTAAATTGCTTTAATTTTAAATTTATCATAAAAATCTACCAATTTTACTTTTTCGCAACTTAAGAACGTTTACTTTGGTTTTTGGCGATCGGCCCAAAAGTTAATTTAAATAAAAGCGTTCAAATTCCCGAAGGATTCAAGTGAATTTGTGGGCAAATAGCTCTCGATTCATCTGGATACGTCGAAATCGTTAATGGATTACCTGTAAGAGGGGGTGCGATGGTATACGAGCTCATTTATCAAAGTCGTGGATTCCATTTCTAAAAAAGATAATCGGCCAATAATTTAACACAATAGTCCCCCATAGTAGTAACGTATAATCGCAACAATATATTATTCCTACTGTTTCCATACCTACTAAATGTTTCACCAAGTAGTCGCAGCTTCTTTATGGAGACTCTTCATAGACCCTTATTGATAATTGGACATTTTTTCTTTAGTATTTGTATGAGTAAAATTATACGGAGTTAGAACACGAAGTAACAAAAAATTTGTATAAAAATGATTTTAATGATAATTTTTTTTTTTATTATCTCTTAACATTCATACATATAGCTAGACAGCATATTTTAAAATATAATGTTAAAAAACCCATGGGTATGTATGTAAGTCTTTGAATTTATAACATATATAAAAAAGATTTTCTTTGTTAGATTTCATTTACTTCAACTGTAATTAAGCTTTAGCTTCATTATACATTTATAAAACTACAAGATTGACTGTTTATTGTTGTGTTATTCATATTTATTATTGTTAAAGCTTTAAACATTGTAAATTCCAAACCTATTAATCATTACCACATCTAAAGGCAAACTTTCTTCGTGATAAAATTAAACATTGTTGTTCACATATTGTTCCTGAATGGTCAAGGCTGAGGAAATTTTAGCTTAACACTGTTAAATGCGTCGTTTTCAACAATAGTACTTATAAAGTGGGTTTTATCTCTAAAGTTAAGCTGATGCTGACTGTCCACACCAAACGCCCCTTAGGTAATTTAACAAAGATATTATCGTTATTATCAGAGAAGAGGAAACAAAATGTAATATTCAACAGTATAGTGTAAATTATCTTCTCATGAAGGGTGCAACTATTTGAGAAATTTAAGCTTTATCTCAAGTTTTCTAATCTATCTCTTTTATATATTTGAATTAGCTGTACTTAAAAGGCATTTTTCAATATTATACCTTTACGCTTAAAAAGTTTTTTGCTTTAGTAATTACGAAGTCTATTTATTGTTTATTTTTTTTTAACTAAAATTTTTTTTGAACTGAATTATAGTACCTAAATATATTTTCCAAATTCTTTCCAATTCATAAAAAATATTTTAATCGCCCATTTGCACCTATATGAAAAATAAACATTTTTTATTTTAAAATGGTCTATGCTGGAATTTCAATGTGCATTTCCTACAACTTGAGTTTTAATAATTCGAGATAATCTTCTACTATAAAGTCCTGAGTGATGTGACATCTGATAACTTGTTGATACAGACGCCATGCCATAAAAAATGTATATAGTATAAACTTAACATGAATGGTGTTAAGAGAAATACGACACTAAAGTACGATCTGGTGAGATTGACAGATGAAAGAGAGGAACCAAATGTAGGTACAACTGTGAATATACATATGAGTACTAGAATCTGTGTGTAAATCTCTCCGAGGTGACAACTGGCCTATTAATATTATTTGTATTTAGGGTGGTCCTTCAGATTAACAGGTTTTTATGACATTACGCCGGTGTGCGGTAGTGATTGTTGTTGATGGTAAAAACAGGAACCCAATTTGAACCGACTATATGTTAAACGAACAAATTAACATTTGAAAAAATATAGACATGGGTAAAATACATAGCACACGTTTATTTTGACAATATTTAAACTTGAATAATAAAAAACTCTCGACCGACATATTTGGATACCATACTAACTTTTCGTGGTAATTTTGAGAACAGATAATATTTTATTTATTTGTTTTTGAATAGTTAACAAATGTTTCCCACTGTTATAAACAACGCTGTTGTATGATTATCAACTGATAGAGTGGTGTTCAAATAATTAAAGATACAGAAAAAAATATTTTTTTTTTAATCGATTTTATTTTGTTTTCAGAGCAATGTGGAAAGTGTCGTTCGGGATCTAGAAGATTGAATCTCAACAAATACTGTCGTAGAGATTATGGTAAGAGTTTTATGCATTATTAAAAAAAAAATTTCGCTCAAAAATGATTCATTTTATATGTTTTGACTCGTATTTAATTGTTACAGCTATACTAGGTAAAATGTCTGAACCGACAATTGTGAAAAATTGGGCTAAATTTACAATTAACATACAGTCTTTGTATAAGCGCGGTGCGGACTCAAGAATTCATAGGGGACCCACTACATTGTGGATACACGAATCAGATCTTGCATGCAAATGTCCTAAAATCAAAACAGGAAGGTATTGATAGATTTATGGCAAACTTCATTTTATAGAAATAATAAGTTCTTAAATTAAAAGTTATTTTCCTAATTGCTTGATTAATTTATGGGAAGGGTACAAAACAGCATTTTTAAACACATTTCTGTACCATTAGATAAAATGGTATGTTTTTTTTCTTTGTAAACATTCCAATTTTTTAACTTTGTATTATTGTTAATTTATTTTGTGTAATTATACTTATAGTAGCTCACACATATTGATTACACCTTTTTCATTTTTTTGTTTACCTTTAATCGTTAATAAAGCCTAATCAGTGGGGATATATAATTTTAAAAAGCACAAAGATCGACGAGACAATTTTCAGGAGACATTCGTTACTATCTTTGAGATGTACTAATAATAATATATTTTTTAGACTTTATCTAATACTGGGCAAAGAAAATGAAGGCGATCGTCGTGACGGACTGGTATTAACACAACGGTCAATTGTCATAGAATGGCGAGATGAATGGCATAATCGCATGAGAAGATTCCAAAGACGAGCCCAACAATGCGATTAAATATATTATTAGAAAAAAAACTGATTATTCATTTACCCTCCCTAAAGAGTCTTCCCGTTTTATTTACCTATTCAACAATTTATTTCTAGATATTTTACTGGGTCCCGTAAATAAAATATATACCACTATAAAAATGCTTGTAATAAGAACCTATTACGCGCACATGTATTACTATTTTTAATATTTAAGTCATTTAGATGCTGAACTTATAAACGTTTTGTAAGTCTGTAGAGTGGATTAATTATTATTACTGTAGTAGAGTGCGATTTTGTATAGCAATAATAATAATAATAATAATAATAATAATTCATTATAGAATTGTTTTATACCAAAACATATATTATTGAAAGTTATATATCTAAATTTATAGAAATATAAATTAAAAAAACATTCATTTGCTTACACAAAATATAACTAATTGTAGAAAGTTGTGCTAGATCATAATCTTTATAAGATTTTAATTGCTATATATGCCTATATAAACTTGAAAAATAATTTTCTATTAATAAGTCATTTAACTAGATTTTGATGTTTTATAATCAAATATTTACTGTGTCAAATAATTTATTATTCTAATATATTACTTATATAGATAACATTGATATTTATACTACTATTCAATCAATACTCTATTGTTAAATACCTATGTGATTGGTACATATATAATAATAAATATCAGATTTCTATACTCTAATAATGTCCAAACTTTAATTTATATATTTATAAGGCACTTTGATTTTTGAATAAACATTTTTTTTATTATACTTTGTTTTTCCTGCGTGTTTGATACTACTTGTAAAGTGTACGATTATTATTATTTTCTAAAAAATATTATTCATATTATGTAAAGTGAATTATATTTGTATTATTTAAAAAAAAGTTGGTAAATAATAACAATTAAAGAAAAATAATACAAAAATGTAAATATAATATTATTATGTTATAAACATAATAATAATAATTATTATTGCATCAAAACAAATTCTATTTAATAATTTTTATAATTATACTTGTTATTTAATTTTGTTTTATGTAAATTTTAATTTTCTTCCTTCCCACATAATTTATTTGTAACATTTTCACTGTAGTATTATATTATAATAATTATGTATGTTTTATTTTTTTTATCCAAATAATAAAAGTTTTTGTGGTTAAAATATGTATTATTTTTAATACCTTATCTATATACATTATACAATTTTGTATCTATAAAACTTAACAATATTTTAAGTAATTATTTATTTATTTATAAAATTAACGGGCATAGCCCTTTTTTACAAACTCAAGTTGCTTAACATTTTCTTAAAAATATAATATAATTCAGAACAATTCATTCATAATACAAACCCAACCATCCAAACATATTATATAAAATTTACATTACCCATTAGAATATTATATGTACAAATTATTTAATTATAATTCATGCATTTATCTGGAAAATCTATGGACTATTTTGATGATCTTGCTAATCTTAGTATAATTGAGCAAATAGCTCCTGTTATTCTTCTTATATTTTGTAAGGCTTTAATGTATGTCTTAAGTGATTTCTTCAACTATCAAAAAGAGTATTAGTATAAAATTATTGCCAAAATCCACTTTGTACAATATATAGTGAAGTGTTCATATAAAAAAATCCAACGAAAAAGTGAAATTAAGCTTATAATTTAAATGAATAAAAATTTAACAAAATTATAGTTATAACTGTAATTTAATTAAGCGTAACATTTGTTGAAAGAGTTACTTATATTATATAGTGTTTGTAGAAAGTAAGGAAACGGGTTTCTATTGTTCTTATTGTTTGTAACAATCGACACATTTCCTTACTTTTTGAACACCGTGTATACTTAATAGTTAAAAAATTTTTTTTATAATTTTCATATGTTATATTACTTTTTCTATATTAATTTTTTTAGAGGTAATGCATTATTTTAAAGTTTTATAGAAATTTTTAATTCTCTAAATATTTTTTGTAATAACAAATAGATGTATGAATAAACAAAATATAAATTAATCATGTTACTTTTTTATCATTGTCATATCAATGTTCATGTAATTAATCATTAAAGTGAATTTTTTTCTAAAGTAACTATTTTGAAAAAATGACTACATTATTTTTTAAACTTTAAATTATTAGTAGTTTTCAATAAAATTAGTGCCTTATCCTTAATGAATCACACTGTACTCTGAGTGATTGATTTTAAATATGATTTATTCTATCAAAAACTATTGAATAATTTGTTTTTATTCCTTCAAGGATAAAAAACCTATGCTATAATTTTTTTAAATAGGAACTCTAATGTTTACTTGATAATTTAGTAGGAATAATAACTACAAACAAATATATTCTTCTATTTTATTAATCCATATTTCTAACGTAGATTTCTCTATGCATGTCATTATTAAAATATTTTAAAAAAGAATTTTTGGTTTAAACGCTCATGTGTTATCTTATTAACCTCACTCTTATATCATATTTTGTGTAACTATAAATATTATTAACTTTATATATTTGTCAGTGTTGACTCGTGGGTGTTGGTGGTGGGGGTGCGAATTTAATTATAATACCGCTAGTTATAGGTATGAAAAATTGTTAAATTAAATATAATAAAATAAAACACAATACACATATTATTAGTTTTAAGGTCGCAGTAGAAAATAGAAATGAAAATAATAATAATAACGATTATACTTTTATAGCAAACAATAACGACGAGCGTACACGTAGTTAATTTTAAAAATAAATTACCCAGTATATTAATACAATAATATTTCACCGTATGGACGACGCTGTCGGTTGTCCAAAACCTGTACATAAGATTGCAACTGAACTGTACCCGCACGCACACGATTGGGCCCCTCGTTTATAATATACGTTTCAAAATATTGTTCAGACGACACTGCCGGTCGTCCAAACACCACTGTTCTTGTGTGCATGTGTACCGCATATACCGAGGGAAACAACTTTAATGTTCGCACACGACAAATGTATTATAACTATTTTACTATTTAAAAGTTTGCATTTTTAATAAAAATGTAGAATTAAGAATATACAATTAATTGTCTTCTTTTAATTAATTTTAGTAGGGGGTGAGATCGTCACATCGTCCAAGCCACGAGCCGCCACTTATATTTGTATGTCATGTTATTTTCTGAATTGAACACTGGATATTTTTAATATCCTTAATTGTAACCATAATGATGTTTCATGAGATATTTTTTTTAAAATTCGATTAATGATTAAAAAACTATCGAATCTGTTCAAGAATTATTTATAACTTTCGTTAAGATTTTAAAATACTCAATAAATATATCGTATGCGACTATTTATCATACAACTTCGAGAAATGGACCCTTCATTAAAATAATTAAACAAATTGGCTTATATATTTGTATGAAATTTTAGGTTCAGTACATTACCGTAGTTTGCCTAAGAGATGAGGTGGCTTTGGCATCTGTAAAAACATTCGTAGTCTTCACAAATTTCGGAGGTGAGAGGAGGTGAAAATAATGTGGTAAAAAAGCTTCCTGACAGTTCTATTATCCAAAATTATTAATGGGGTATGGAACTATAGCGTCAAATTTCAACAATTTCTTTAATCTACGCCCATGGTACAGTATAATTTATTAATGGTACCCGAAATAAATAAATAATTTCATACTAGATAAAAAAAAAGTTTAATTTCGTCAATTAATGTAAATAATTTGATGGAAAATTATAAGGATAATTTTTAAATACAAGATATCATAATGTTTTTCAGAAAAATGTTTTTATTTTCTAAATTAATTATTATTATTGAAGCCTATTGAAAATAATTCGGAAACGTTTAAACGATAATGTATTGTGATAGTCTACCTTGCATTCTTTGTTAATTAATAATAATCATCAAATTTACGAAAACTAAAATTAATGTTTCCTAAATATAAATCTTAATTTAATCTAAACAACATCCAATACTCATTTACGATTTATTTCACTATTAATTTTATAAACAATTATATTATTGGAATTTTGCAATAGGTAATTTGATTATCGAGTTCTACAATTGAAATATGTTTAATATGCAAACTTTAAACATTATAAGAAAAAAGCGGCACGACCTTGGACAAAACACATTTTATACATTTAAAATTAACTATGATATTTATTTTGTGAGTACATAATGTACTAATAATAATTATTAATAATAAAGCACGAGTTATTTATTTATCTTAAAAAATTACTTTATGACAATAAAATTTGGTTCTTTTTGCATTTAAATATTTTACATATGTTTTGTTATGTAAATTCCTTAAAATAAATTTATTTTAAATAAAATATATATCATCTAAATAGACGAGATTTAAAAAATATTCGAAAAAAACTTTAAAATTTTCATATTTTTTTATTGTGCGGTAGTTTAGTGAAACAAATTGTAATAAAACTACATTATGCAAAAAAGCGTGAAAATATTATTTGTGATTACGTTGGTGTTTTTAGAGTTTGTATCAAGTGATGATACTGAACATGAAGTTGAAGATTTAGTTGCTAAGTATGAAATATTAATGGTAAGCGATTCTGGGTACGCAAAATCAGAAATTCTGACAAATACGGAGGAGTTAAGAAAATTATCAGCTGATACATTAAAGAATATGATTGCGTTAGAACTAACTAACATACAATGTGGGTACGTTTACAGTAGTCTTCATTTATTAACTTTGTTCAAAAAATTATGGAAAAAAATAAGCTTTAAATTTTATTGGGAACATTTAGAACGTTCAAAATATAAAGGAGAATATAAAGTAATCGAAGTATCTATATTTTCGGTGGCTATCGATATGTTAGCTTCAGTGTATCGTTTTGAATTTAGACCAACATTGAATTTGATGTGGTTGTTTTACTGTTATGCCGAATATTTAAATAATTATAATCTTGGTTACCATGATATTAGGAAAAAAATTAATCCAGAAGAATTTACTTTAGTATATAATGAGCTGACAAAATTTACCAAGGAATTTTGTCATCCTAATAATGCCTACAACAATACATTTATCAATGGCATTTATTATAATGACCTAATAGAAATTTCTGATGATAAAAAAGAACCAGATGAGGTAAGGGAAATTATAGTACGTTGTCAAATTGAGATAAAGAAGCTAATTGTAAAATGTAATCATGTCACTAAGAATATTGGAATAGATGTTCCAGAATTTTCTATGCGTCGGTTGGAACTAAATAGAGCAATAACTGTTGGGATATTTATGGAAACTATTTTGAAAGATTTTGGTAAAATAGAAAATTGGGAATTTATTAAAGAAAAATTAGAAAACGATTACTATAAGTCATATTCTAATCACCAATTGGTAGATCGACTCATAAGTTTAGCGTCGTACCAACGAAATTTTATACAACTACTTCAAATTCTTCTATTACAAGTAACTTGGTCACGTTTAGTACGTATACGAAAATTTCTTTTTGATTTAAAAACTTCAACGTATCCCGTGATAAAGCAATTCAAGAGAATTTCGAGAAAGTTTACTGCGTACTTGAATATGAAGAAACTAGTTGAAGATTTAACATATTTTACTAATTATCTATGTCTATATGATAACATTCAGTTCAATAGTTATGTTCAGGAAATATGCAAAATAAAAAACATCACAATAGAAAGCTTGAACGAATTAATTAATAATACAGTCAAAACATTAAATTCCTCTTACAAAATGTTATTTAATTGTACATCCACGTATAATGCTGAAGATACAAACGTTTTAGGTTCAACTTCATTATCTGTGCAAATTCATAGTGCAATGTATGGCATCAATTTTAATGTCATACAATCTTTTATAGATTTTACCAAATATTTAGAAAGGTTTAGGGGGCAAAGTACCGAAAATATAGATGAAAAATGAAATAGTATTGGCAAATTGAAAAAAAAAATAAAGTTTTCAATTTAATTTACCTTAATAAAATAGTATAATATTATATATGTATAGAATATATTTGTATTCTTTAAACTTAATAAATATCACACAAAAAGTTATTTTTTCAAATTCAATTTATAAAATCTCGTTTCGGATTATACTTATTTGTGGCTCTAGGATCAAATTTTCAAATGGTCATTAAAAAAGGATTTTTCGTAAAAACTATAAACAATATTTTTACTACAACATAAATAAAATCTAAGTTATTACTTAGAATTTATGATTGTTTTGCCAATTCGGCGGAACACAAGACTAGGTTCTTATTCTTTGTAGGTCCTAGGCTCTTGAACCTAGGACTATAGCATTATAGATAAAATTATTTTTAAGTATTTAAGTATTTTTTCTATTATACCTATTGCAGTTTCAATTTAATAGACATTAGATAAAGAATGAGGACTCCAAACAATAACACCATACTCAAAAATAAAGCATATAATATTTTCAAAGAAAAATTTAGTTTTAAGTTAGAAGCTACTCTCATTACAAAGTCAAGCACTTTGAACACTTTACAACACATCATAACCATGTGACATGGTTCACCAAACTCTGTTATTTTAAGTATTTTAAAGAAAACTTCATGATTGACTAAATCAAATGCCTTTTTGAAATCAGTGTAGAGATCATCAACTTGGGAACCTTGGTTAAAAACAAGATTCCCAAGTAAGGTAAAAGCACTGTAATTCACATGAGAGTTTTAATAAGTAGTAGTAAATTTTATATAAAAATATAATTATAAATTAAAAACAATTAAAACTAATGTTAACAAAATTATTATTTTTATAACTTAATGAAAATACATTTACATTTTAAATTTGATAATAATTAAAATTTTAAAAGGACTGAACAAAATCACATAACACTTATTTTTAAAGTTTAGGATAATCTAATTATAAAAAAATATTATTTCATAAGTTAAATATATTGCTATATTTCACTTGCATACACTTCATATTTTTCATGAAAGAGCAACTACCAAGTTGGCAATCAACAATAATATGATAATCAACCAAAGTCCTAAAAAAATGTAATAAATAATAATAATGATTAATATTTTGTTGAACTAAAATCTTTTATTGTTAACCTTTGGTTGAATCTTTTTGTAATATTTGTACAACTTCTCTAGTTTCATTATCAATTCCAGCTGTTGTTTTGTCCATTTTTACCAAGATGTCATCAACTATTTCTAAAAAATAATAAAAAAATAAAAAATATAAATTGTTGATTCTTTTATAAAACACATACCATTTTGTAAATCAACTTCACTACTAATTGTAATAGCTATATTTTTTTGCCTTGAAACAATAGATGCTAATTCATTCAGTCCGTCATCTTGTTCTGTAATATATAATTAGATATTTTATATACTCTAAAACTTCTTAATTTAGTAAAATAATTTCATTAGATTCTGAATTTAATGCAACACATTCTATAAATGAGATAAATATAAAATATCTGATTAGAGTTAATATTGTATTTGAATAAATTATCCAGATACTAAAGAAAATGTAACTAAATAGAAGATATACTAGAAAATTACAATAAAAATAAATATTTATATATATTTTTAAATTTTATTATTATAAAACATAAAATTAATACATTAATCTTTTATTTCAAAATTACACTACTATATATATTTTTTAATTTTATGATTATTTAAAAATAACTAAAAATTAATTTTTATAGCTAAAATGAGTATAATATGAGTATACTTTTTATCATGCTCTGTTGTTCCTGTTGTTTTAGGATACTATTCTTAAGTAATGGCTGTTTATCATTATTTTCATCATCGTCATAACCATCACTATCTAACCAGCCAGATGTAAGATTTTTTTTGGAATTTAATTTACTTGTACAAGGCTTCAACAATTCTTGTCGTTCTAAAGCGCTATTACTGTTACTTCTATAAATATAATAAATAATTTTTGTAATATTTCATACAAATGTTTCAAAAATGTACCTATTTTGGAAATGTTGATTCAACAATATATCTCGACTCTGAAGTAATTCAATCATACGGTATCTTCTTTCTTCTTCATCTGAGGTACTATATGTAATCATTAAGGAATATTAGACAAATATGTATACTAATTTTTAACATTTATTAACATAACAGATTTTATAAGTTTTACTAATGAAATTTTCTTAAATTTATTTGATTCTATATGTTGTGTTAAATGAACAAGTATTTTGTTCACAATCATTCCATAAATGTATTAATGTAATTAATCTACATACCTATTGTCCTCCAAATATTTTAAACTTAATAGTGTAAAATCATTATTTTTTGGTTATAAATAAATTCATATAAATATAATATTTAATTTTTTACTATGTAATAGGCTTAAACTAATAGCATAAATAATATTTTTGCATTATTACTTTAAATTTTATTTTACAACACTTAATAAGATCAATTTTTAATCTAGGTATAATTGAATCTCTACATAATAATAAATTATTTATTTTTAAAAGAGATAATGTTTTATTTCATATAAATAATTACTATAATTTACTATTTTGTTATGAGTTTTATCACTATACATTTTTATAAAAATTAAAAACACTGCTTATTAAATTAAGTTTTCTAAATTAATTTGAAAAATGTTTTAGACAAGACCAGCAAGTCAAGGATACATAGTTTTTGAATTGGCCAGTCCTTTAAGTTTATGTGCTAATTGTTGAACCTCAGATGTATATTGTTTTAATCTAAGTCTTATTTGTGAGGAGTATAAAACATATTTTTCTGAAGACCTTTGTTCAAGATCTCTTACATTTAATAATCCTTCAATTTGTCTGTACAGTTTTTCACAATTTTCATGCTCAATTAACCTGTGAAATTCAATATAGTAAAGATAATAATAATATTAAAAAAATTATGTATAAATTAAAAAATAAATTATTAAAAATTTGTATAAAAACAAAAGTTAATAATTAAAGTAGTATATTATATTGTTTCAAGGATTTTTTTCTTTTGAAATAACGATTTTTAACAAATCACTACTAGATATGAATTGAACCACTACGCTAATGTCAGTGTTTACAAAAACCTACCGCAAAAAAATCTAGCAGGCTTTTAGCTTCGATGCGAAGCTGAGAAGGTATTGGTTTTACTATGATGTGTTTTTTTAGCTTCGATGCGAAGCTGAGAAGGTATTGGTTTTACTATGTTTTTTTTTTATTTTTTTTTTATTTTTTTTTTTTTGTGTCTGTTACCACTTTTTCTCAGCTCTCACCGAACGGATTTCTTTCAACGATACGTCAAAATATCACAAATCGTATCTAGTCGAAGACATTACCCTTCAAAATTGAAAAAATTTCCCTCGTTCCCTATAAATGGGGGAAACCTCCAAAAAAATTACAAATTTAAAAATCGNTTTCCCTCGTTCCCCGTAAATGGGGGAAACCTCCAAAAAAATTACAAATTTAAAAATCGCTAATTTTCGAAATTTTTTCAATTTTTTTTACTAAAAACTGCCGTAACTTTTTCAAAAATGAACATATCAATATAAATTGATGTCTTTACTTATCATTTGGTATATTTTTTTTGTAAATCTGACCCTTTATCTGCCCACAGGGGGGGATTTAAAATGACAACTGTTTTACAAAAAATTTACTTTTTCAACTTAACTTTTGAAAATGTTCCGGAAGGTCTGACACTTTTATATATATCTTAAATTAAAGCTAATGTAATATACTTTAATTTGAAAAAAAAAAAATGACCTCTGGACTTGTCTTCACGGCGAAAATGGCTACCGAATGCTATTTTCGTGTGAAAATTCTCGATTTTATTATTTATATTATATTTAACTTTATAATGCTATAACTTATTGAAAAGTTTATGGATCCACACAATTTTTTTATGAGAAATAATATTTTTTAATAAACCCTTTTTCATTCGACATACTTTATCTTAATCGAGATATTAATAAGGAACCAGCAGATCAAGTAGCTTTTGGAATAAAACACCATTTTTTTTTAAATTAAACACTATCTAAAGATTTGCATCGAAGCGTTTATTTTTGATAGTGATTTTAATCACTGTCAGATATCATTATACTTGATCCAACTATACCACATCACAACTGTGCCGCGACCCCCCTGTGCTGGGTTTTTTTTAGACTAAATCCAGATAATTTTTTTCAAAACTCATAAAATACCAGGTCTATTTTTTTTAAGTTTTCTTTAGGTATTAAAAAAATTGGTCTTGTAAAACATTGTTTTTGTTTAAAATAAAAAACACAAGATTTTATAAGATGGTAACACAAACTAAGATAAAATGGACTGGACATAAAGCCTTTTTCAGGCGATTCTTCAATTTTGTTATACATTTTCTGCAAATGGGGAAATTTTGAAGTAACGGCAACATTTAGTATATTACATGTATTTTCATAATTCTTCACTCAGTTTTTAAAATTTTGTATTACAAATATATTTGTCGTTAGAGCTCGCGATTAGTCAAATATACCCCTTCACTATAACAAAACCAAATAGCACTTCCCATTCCCGCTAAATTTGTGTTAAATCCATTTTATCTGCATTCGTGGTAGTATATTTATGTATAAGGTAGTAATGTTACAAAACCTTAATTTTAAGGTCGAACCGAACTTTCAATTTTAAAATCAAACTCGAAACGAACAGAAAATCAATTTTTTTGTCGAACCCGAACCCGAACCTAATCAAATATTAATTTTATTCATTTTCATGCAAAACAATTTTTATATAATTACGCAGAATGATGTTTAATTATACTAGTTCGATTTTCAAATAAACATACAAAGAAAAAGTTTGGTTTGAACATCATTACTATATGTAAAAATTAATAATTTTGAAAAAAAAATGTTTTCTTTATTAGGATTTATTTCTAAGATTTGAGCGGATAAATATTTTTTAGGTCTACCTCTTATTCCTTATAAGAATGCCGACTTTATTTTTTTTAACGGAAACATACATAATATAAAATAAATGTTATCTAGTAAAAAAACTTATTTATTATAGACTCGTTCATTTAATAGAAAACAATCCAACTAAGAAAATGACTGGTCAATAACAACTTTTTAACCAGTAGTTCAGGAGTTATTAATATTAATATTTTAAATCTATAATCGTGAGAATTGGCGCCTTTTATTACACACCAACGAGTGTTTTAGTCATGTGACTACTAGGAGCGCTATTATACAGCGAATTTTAATGTTACTATACCAGACAAACCTTTATTATATAGGTATATATATTATATTTAATTTTTTTTTTGTTAATAAAAACAATTATTACAAATAAAAACTATGATGTTAAAGCTGGATTTTTTTTTACAAAAAACGCCGAGGAAATAGATTAATAGAAAAACTTAGTGGATTTTTGACCTAAAACCACAAAAAAACTGGTTTTTAACAATTCTACAATATACTACAGTACAATAGGTCAAGCATTGGGAATTCACCTGGGACATGATTATCACATTTTTATTTATTTATGTTTTTATTCGTACTAATATATGTTAAAATTTATCTTTTGTTAACCCTATTAGACCCTCATAACATTATTGTGTAATTATTTTATTATTTTAAAACCGTAGTTTTGAAATTAGAGCAGTGCTTTCCATATCAAAAGATGCTAAATGATGCGAGTAACAAAATTTTATTTTGTTTTATTAAGTTAAAATAAGTTTTAAGTAGAAAAATATATTTATTATTTTTTAGAAAACCCTAGGGTCATCCATTAATAAAAATTTATTTTGATCGATTTTAACAAAATAATTTAAAGCTAAATCTGAAAGAATTAAGCAAAAATTGTATAAATTTAAAGACAAAAATTAATTTTTGTTTAANTTTAATCACTGTCACATTAAATCTACACTGGACCCTACTATGCAATGTCTCCACTATGCCGCGACCCCACTGTGCTACCGTTTTTTATATATATCAATGAAAATAAATGTAATCTATTAATGCACTATTTTTTTAAATAAAAATTTAATAAGTAAAAGATATAAAACGTTATTTAACATGCAACATAGGGATTTTACTGGCATAGTGAAAACCCTTTATCAAAATTTAACAAAATATTTAAAAAAAATCATACATAAGAATGCTTACCAAGGATCATTGTCAATATAAACAAAAGACATTTTTCATTAATATTAAAAAAAAATAATAAATAATATATTTATTTNTAAGTCGGACTATTAAAAAAAAATAATAAATAATATATTTATTTAAGTTTCATGTTTACTATGATAAAATAACAAAATAATTGAACAAAACTAAATAATAAATAAAATGAAATTGTGAAAATATAATTTCTTTTTTTGGAAAAAAAGGATCTAGTTAACACTAATATTTTTACAGTACTTTTTAATATTATTTTGTTAAGTTGATAACAAAAATAAATGATAAAGTTTTATCACGAATATGCTCTGATTGAGTTTCTAGTTTTCATGGATGAATGTATGTGTACGTCATCTGTTGTCTCCTCTTCAATCCAACCCCACCATACCTCTTCCAAAATCAATTACTATCATTTGCTTTCTGCTCTTCTGCTGCCGCCTGCCAACAAACCAAGCCATCGTGCGGTTTTCTCAGTCCTCATTCTTACGAGAAGAATAGGTAATTTTCGTTTACCAACAGCCACTAGCTGACACAAAGTACCTCCAGTTTGTTGTGGTCAGTTGTGTTGCGTGTGATAGTACCTCCGTCTTTCTAGTTGTAATTGTGTGCGTGCGCCTAGTAGTACTTTTACCATTCACTTTGAGTCTTCCGTCTGTCCAGTAATAAAGTATCATTAGGAACTCTATATAATTTGCATTACGTGGCTGTTCTTTTTAAAAACGGTACTCTCAGTAAATATTATGTTACCTCATTGGTGATATGTGTTTTAAGCGAATCGCAGAGATGAACAGACAGCGACAATATGTCAGTCTATCAAGCTCTTATAACCAAGGCCCGTGACAATATCAGAGATATTTGACTTAATTATAACAAATCTAAACTCATTAGCTATTATAAACACATTTATAAATACAATTGACTAAGTAAGTTATCTCAATTAATTATATACGCCTATAAATATTTAAATAGCTTGTTAATTTCTATGGTTTTCCTTTTCAAACTTCGTTTTATAATAAATACTGCATTTATATTGACCCTACTGTTAGAAGCGGGTTCGAGTTTTTGTTGTTAAATGACATTAATTGCTATTTGCACTGAAGTAATTTAATATTAAAACCTCTTTAATAAAATAGTTATAGTCATACTACTTATTAAAAAAAATAGTAAATGTTAGTTTTTAGAATTTCAGTATAATTCTTCAATTAAGATTTCTGCAGAAATATTCTTTGATAATTTATTTTGGAATCATTTTCTTTTATTATATCTTTGGTTTTTGTAATAATTTTTTCAGCAATTGTTCATTAAAAGTTATAATAACTTATATATTAGTTATAAACAACTAATTTATTAGATATAATAAAAATTGCCTTGCTTAATACTTACCAAAAATATGTATTATAACAATTTAAAATGAATATCATTTAAGCATTGGTAGCCTATTTAATTAGTTTAGCTATAAATATATCTAATAACTTGGTGCCCAGATATCATAATGTGATTAACAGGTTATTCTAATATCTCATAACGCAAGTGGTAGCTTACTGTGGTTACAAAAAAAAACTCAAAAATATATAAATATTAATAAATATGTATTTATTTCTAGGATTAATGGCATCCAATAATAATGATAATAATAGTAATTCAATTGCGTCTAAATTAGAAGACATCACTGAACAAATTACACAAATGCAATCAGATCCAATATTTTTGCAAACAACAGCATGCCAAGTAATTGCAGGTCTTTTTGTATGGACAGCAGTGTTCGTTACTTGTCAGCAGGTAATTTATTCAACATTTTTCTCAAAAAAATATCCCCATTTAGTATTTATTTGTTTATTTGTTTTTATATTTTAATGGTGAGTGAATTTTAATGTTAAATAAATAATAATCTTAAAATAATTATGATATAAGGTAATTTTCAAAAATATTTTTATAAATTTTACTATGTTTATTCTATTTATAATACTTCATTTTAATATCTGAAATTAACTAAATTAAAAAAAAAATAATTTAACACTTAAAAATTATAATTTTTGTTTATTAAATGTTTTAAATTATTTCTTGAAAATTTATTATTATCATCTGTCATAACATGGTTTCATGTCTAATATTGTATTTAAAATTTTCAATTGAGTTAATGTTATTATGTTTATTATATTGTACTAAAATGTTTAATACAACAAAGTAGTGGTAGAATGAATTTAACAGTTTTTACTAAAAATTTTTAATATAAAACTGATATTAATTTGGTTTAAAAGTACAATTGAAATTTACGAGGCTATATAATTCACTCTTATGTGTATTGAAATTCATTTTTCATGAGGATTATTTTCACTACAGATTTATAGATTTATCAAATAATTTAGTAACCATAACTATTACATTGTTTTTAACTTTTTAAAATTTCAATGTGATACAACTGACTAATAATTTTTATCTGGCATTACCCACCTTAAAAAAAACTACAATAGTAATTACCTGCTAGTTTGTTTTATTTGAAGATAAATAATAAACTCTAGTTTTCTTTCTTTTTACCATTAGCTATTAAAAAATACATAATGTTTAATTTTGTAAACAATATGTTAATAAAATTTACTTAAATATTTTTGACATAATAACTTTAATTCTTTTCAACTATTTTACCATTTATTAAAAATATCTTTTACACATACTTTTTTAAGTTGATAGAATGGACAATCGTATCATCATGTATCAGTGCTGATACTTGATATTTCAGGATCCAATGCAAAAATACTTTTTCAGGGCCCTTTCTATATTTTTATTAATTTCAGTAAAAATGTGTTGTTTTAGTTTTTTATTTATGTATAGCTTTTAATTTTTTTTTGTGCTAGTCTACTAAAAAACAAATGCTATTAAACGTTTTAGACAAATTTGGTATACTTCAAATGCAAAAGTACAGAGCATAGACATGACTAGAATTAAACTTTTAGGGGTGCTAAATTTTTCACCACTCCAATTTTTTATTTTTATAATATTATACAGAGTGTCCTATCGTGATATCTAATTTGAATATCTTAGAGATATTCATATAAGTTAATCATAAAAGGATATTCTGTTTATAATTATCTAAACTTTTAGGGGGCTAAGCCCGCCCTAGTTGCGGCCATGTTTCTAGGAAAATGTTAAACATAAAAATCAAATTATCACGTCTACTGTATAAACTTTATAGGATACACGTCGTCATTAAACTCAATATTTTTTTGAAATATTTTAATACTTAAAAAACTTATAGAAAATTATACCACGTGGAGGTTTTTCTTTGCGATAGACAATGTATTTTTCATCAAAAAAATGTCTTATATCCAATTAATGTGTTGAGTAAACAAGGAAATATTATTTTCTAAGTACGAAGTTTTTCATTATAAAGAATACATTTAAAAAGAATACACATAACTAATTTTTTTTAAGGAAAAACACGTGAGAAAATGCTCATTCGCTCTAAATAAAAACAATTATTACTTCATTACATAATATTTCTCGCCAATCTAACACTAACCCTCATTATAAATAATCAGTGTTTCAAATATCTATATCAGTGTATAGTAACTCCGTTCTAGATTAATGCGAATCCAAAGATGATGATTTTAATTAAGTTTTTGGGTACTGATAAAAGGATGACGTGTAAGACGTTAGCTTTTGATATAATTAGGATAATTCATCGATTACTTAATGATTAGGGATATATAAAACAAAACTTTTAAGAGGAGTAGGCCTGCGTCTAATTAGTTTAAAGTTAAACATATTACATTCGTTTATTTCTATATGTTGTTTTCGGTTTATTGTACACCTTTTTTTAAATTTAAATGTTTTGAAAAATGTATTTACGATTAATCAAATTCCTTATTTTATTTCTTCAAAATAAAAAAAAATTCATGCCAATGATTCTTGTTAATAAAATATTGAATATTAAATCATAATTTCTATTATAATGAAGTGATTTGTGAAAAAAAATCCCCGGTTATAAATTTATAAATCGTCTAGTCTAACTTAAAAACATTAGTTACATATTCAAAATAGCCTATTATAAAATTCTTGTTTCGTTTACACTATGTTCTCGATGAGGTCAAATAAAGTATTTTTATCTGAGTAACGAAATATTACGATAAGCGATTTGTCTAGTTTCCTCTTAATCAGTTTTTGTTTATAACTTTATAATAATTATTTATTAATCACTAATGAACAATTAATACTTTTTTATTAGATAATTCGATATATATATATATATATATATATATAAAAGTTAAGTTAGAATAAACTTATAATTAAAACTGTATATTTGACATGAGAATAATAATTTTGAATTTTACTTATTTAGTTTAAAAATTGTCTTTACATTGGAATTGTAAGTCAAATGTGCTGTTTAATGGAATGTGTATCTACACTTGTATTTTGTGCTCCTTTTATTATATATGTATAATTTGATGCAGTGTATCTAATCGTTTTGGTAATGACCCCAAGGTTTTTAGTATATACAATAACTCCAAGGTAACGTCTGATAGATTTTCTTGTTCAATTCTTACATTACATGATGTGAATATGATTCAAACTTCAATTTTTTTCTCATTTTAACTTATAATCTCCCATTTACATGCTTATAAATATAACTAAAAATTGTTACTATTAATAACCATTTCGATTAATTACTGTTTATTGTATAGTTACTATGAACATTTTATAAAATAGTAAAGAAAAAAATAAATCGATTACATCGTGTTTAAGACACCAGGAAATAATGGTAAATGTTCATTTGATTACAAACTTTGTTTCTGATAAAATAGTGGAATAGTAATATAGTTATTTCCTTAAAAATTCTTTGATTAGCTTAAACCGTGTTATCAAAACATGTATAAATAATACATACAATAATTTAACTGATTCTTGGAAAGTATAAAAAATTGAGATATTATATGTATTCGATGTTGTATTTTTTTCTACATTTAATAATTTTGTAAATAGCATCTGTTTCATTATATTTTTTACTTTAATAATTTATCTCGTCATGCACTGTTAAATGAAGGATGAACCATAATAAATGAACTAGTAATTTGTACATTATGAGATTATCTATTGATTATCGAAACTAGTAATTGCGAAAATCGCACGTGGCTTGCTTATTTAATGTGGGCATTATACTGGTAGTCAAAAGAAACATAGTAGTTCACTTATTTATCATGTTAATGACCCTGTTGTGTAGTATTAACTCCACAAATAACGGGTTTTTAAATGCATTCGTAGAAAATTATACACATTTGTCATTTACATTTAAAACAACACATGATTATTATTTTAATGAAAGTTCATTAGTTATTGAACAATCAATATATAAATAGACCTATAAATGTTTCTAACGTATCGGTAAAATACTATATTAAATTCATAGAACAATCTAAACATATTATTATTAATTGTTAAAATTTACGATTACTAAGTAAAAACCATGTTAATTTTGAATATTTAACTAAATATTCAATCAAACAAACAATTATAGTATTTGTGGCTTGGCACATTTCTCATGAAATTAATCATAACAAGGGAAGAAAACAATTTTAAAATGCCATTAAATTTCATGATGAGGATCGATGAGTTCGTAGTTAAAATGATTTTTTGCGTTTTTAAAATAAATGAACTATTATTTAAAAATATTTATATGTTGATCACTATTCACATAAATACGTACTTAAATGTTTAAATTTCTCATGATATACAGTTATTTTGAAAATACCTAAATTTTATTTTTAGCGAAATTAAATAACAAATATGTTGATTAAATATTTAAAATATCTTTCATTATTTAATATTTAAAAATAAGAAATATACATAAATATGTTTGTTACAGATATATTATCATCTTCGCTGGAACACAAATCCAGCAGAACAAAGGTGGATCATACGTATACTTTTCATTGTACCAATTTATGCTTTACATTCATGGGTCAGCTTATTATTTTTTAATAATGAACACTACTATGTGTATTTTTTCACTATAAGAGATTGCTATGAAGCTTTCGTCATTTATAACTTTATGAGTTTATGTTATGAATATTTGGGCGGAGAAGGCAACATAATGAGTGAAATTCGTGGGAAACCTATACTGTAAGTTATATTTAAATTCCTAAATCAATTTGTCTTATTCTCATTAAAGTATAAATTTTTTTTTTGTTAAAAAAAATAGTTGTCACGATTTTATTTTTAATAAGTTAAATCATTTATTAAAACTATACATTTTAGTTCAAGTTGGCAGTATGGAACATGTTGTTTGACTGGACGTACTTACACAATTGGTTTCTTGCGGTTCTGTAAACAAGCCACGTTACAATTTTGTCTTGTAAAACCAGCTATGGCCTTTGTTATTATATTTTTACAATATATTGGTCATTATCATGATGGAGATTGGAGGTAAATTATCTTAAGTATAGTTATTGTATTATTTAATAGATATAAAATTATGTTTTTATTTATAGTATTGATGGAGGCTATTTATATGTAACTTGCATATATAATCTATCAGTTAGTTTGGCTCTATATGGACTTTTCTTATTCTATTTTGCAACCAGAGACCTGTTGACACCTTTTGAACCAGTCCTGAAGTTCTGTACAATTAAAAGTGTTATATTTCTGTCGTTTTGGCAAGGTAATAAAAACTTTATTATTTAAGCCTGAATTTTTAAATATTTAACATTTTAATTTTTTTTTAGGTGTATTGCTTGCTGTTTTGGAAAAAGCTAAAGTAATTTCTCCACTTATTGACTCCAGTGGTCAGCCTACAAGTGCTGGTACTGTATCTGCAGGCTATCAAAACTTTTTAATTTGTATTGAGATGTTGTTTGCAGCATTGGCCTTACGAGCTGCATTTCCTTATGAAATATATGCTAGTAATGTGCAAACTAGTACAGGACAACCATCTAGCTCGCGCACAGTAACAATGCAGAGTATATCTAGTAGCTTAAAGGTAAATTTTCTATACAATTTACTTTTTAACTTCGGAAATTCATTTAAAAGTAAAATTAATAATTATTTTAGGAAACAATGAATCCAAAAGATATTATGACGGATGCCATACACAATTTCCATCCTCAGTACCAACAATATACACAATATAGTTCTGGTAAAAGATTTTGCTTATATTTTTGTGTAATAATTGCATGTTATTAGTACAATTTTGTTAGATGTTTGAAGTATTAAATATTTTTAATTTTCTTAAATTCTTAACATGGAATGCTTATAAAACATTTTTTAAATAATATTTTCTTAAATAAAAATTTATTGATAATATCAATTTTGTGTTATTAAATTGAAATGGGTTAATGTTAATAATAAAATAAAATATATTTATGTACTATTACTGTACTTATTTAATATCTTTATTAAAATTTTAATATATTTTTTAAAGAAAAAAAAATTTTAATGTTATTAACTTATCTGAAGTCTTATCAAATCATTAACAAGAGACCTATTGCACATATACTCAAATAAAAGATTAAGATAAGAGTTCTTTTTTTCTACTAAAAACCCCTTACACAGAAAACATTTTTTTTTTTTTTTTGTCATATTTTTACTTAAATACATTTTTATTCATTAAAATAAGTCAAATATTAAAACACTTTAAAATATAAGAACTTTTTTTCTTTAATTTTTTCCTCATATATTACAGTGATCAAATAATTTATTTTTATTACCTAAATTTTCTGCATGAGTTAATAAAATTTTTTTTTCAGACGTTGGTTCCTCTCAACCTTATGAAAAGTTATAAGCATGGACATGTTTTAGTATGATTTGCTCTCTTCATTTTAGATTTTAGAGAATGCAATTATAGTTTATTTATAAATTTGTAATTAATATTTACTAGTTTAATAAAACTTTTGAAGTATTTTAAATTGGGTAGCTGCAATGTGATTATTTTGTTAAGACATTGTTTATATTTTATTTATTCTTACTACTTTTACTTTTTATTTGTTTTTTGAAGAATGCTTGATTATTTTTTATTTTAACAGTGTTATTTTGTGTCATTAAATTTTATCTTTATACCAATGGTAAAATTTTTAAAAAATCTCTAAGAAAAATATTGATTTATTAATACAATTAAAATGTCTTGCTAGTCAATATTTCTATCATAACTAGTTCTATTTTAATTTATAATATAATTATTTGCTAATCAATTAGTTAGAATATTTTTAACAATTTATATTAATAATTAGTTTAGACATTTTTTTTAAATCTGTGATCTGTGTAAAAATACTAAGTAGTTAACAAAGTTCGCACTTTTACATATTTTACTTGTATTAAACAACAAAACTGTTGTAATTAAACCTATAATGATAAAAAATTATTATAACCATTTATTTTTAGTTTGCACTTTTTATTACATTAGTAATAAAAGTATTTGGGGAACGACCCTCGCAATTTTTATTTGTAATAAGTAGTTTATTTGAATTTAAGGTATATTATTTTGATTAATCTTATTATTTTAATTTTATTGATTAAAAAATTATAATGTTTGTATTAATTTCCAAAATAGTGTAAAATTTACATATCTTAGTATACAAAAAAAAAAAAATAACTTCCTATTTATTTTTTATTTTATTATTATTATTTTTTTATGTAATAAATAATATAATGTTAATCAAAGTTTACTATCAGAAGAATAAAAAATGAAAACCATATAATACCAATGCATTATATTTATTTACTCCATAAATAAAGTGCATCAAGGGCTTAGTTTAAAAAAAAAAAAAAATACTTTTTTTAAAAATTGAGTTGTTTTGTAGTTATATTAACCTTAGATAAAATATATAGTCCGTAAATTTGATAAGCAAAAACTCAATATTTGAGTCACTATATTAAATTAAAAGAGTGATGCATATAAGAGATAAAAGAACAAAAAAATTTTATTGGCTCTCCTGAAAAAAGACAAAAATACAATTAACTCTTGCATCAAGCCATCAATATACTGTTATAATTGTATGATTGCTCGTTTGCATACTGATTTTTAGATATTTCACTATTTTAAATTTATTGAATAAATAAAACATCAAATCCATAAGAAGTTAGTTGATGAATGATTATTGGAACATCAGATTTAAAACATTACTGTATAATTTTACATACTAAATTATATTATTATTTTAGGAAGCCAGAAAAATTATGGTTCTAAAAATACCATTATGAAGGAAAACAATCGTACAAAAGTACCAAAGAAGCAAACAATACCAGTTTATAATGAAAAAGCAATGCTGCTGAGTTCTGATGATGAATTACCATAAAACTTAATTATATGCCTACTTTCATAAACCTTTTAATACTGGAAAATTATTTACTTCTTTTCAATAAATTAAACTAAATTATATGTAGACTAACTATTTCATTTAATTTGTGCAATATTAAATATCTAACTATTTAAAGCTGTTTTTATCCACTTGGTGCGATATAGAAATAAATAATTGTTGAACTGTCATAATGTTATTCAAAAATATAACCACTGTTTAATGAATTGTTTGGTATTTGATTTATTTTATGTTTGTCTTTATATTCTTTAACTGTTATTTATTTTTCATATTACAAAGATAATTTAATGCAAAAAAAAGAAAAATTAAATATTGAAATAACTCATTAAATTTTTAAGTAAATATGATTCAATGTGTACAATTATTTATTGTCATATTTGATTGATAATGATTTTAATTGTTATTAAGTTTATTAGTTTATAAATTTTGACTTGTAATTTTTAACAATATTCAGGTGTATATAAGTGAAAAAAGATATACGATTTTTTTACGTGTATGTGCAACTTACGAAAAAAAAATCATTAAATTACTTATAAGTAACACAACTATAGCAATGTTATTTTATTTTTTCTTATATATTTATGCGTTATAGAATGTATCTTATAAAGAAATTCGATTACTTCTCTTTTAGAATTCATTCTGCCTAGATTATTGATTAGATGTCTCCAAAATATTTTGAAATATTAAATACAGGTAAAAATGGAATATTGTAGAATAAAAATATTCTCGGTTTTCTATATTTACTATTTTCTTTTTGAATTAAAATATATTTTTTTAATTTATTGTATTTTGGTTACTGTACACCTATTCGATATTCAATAATATTGCTTAGTTAAGATTATATTGTTAAATCATTTTAAAATATTGTAATTAGAATGATAATAAAAAAATTTAATATATATTAAAATATTTATTAATATTAATATTACTTCAAAATGTCTTAACAAATATATAATTGTCATTTATTGAATATGCATTCCTTTTAATTAAATAATATAAACGGATTTATGATAACAAATTCAAGTTCAAGTTTTTTTATTTAAAAAATAAATCTTCATTTTTGATATGAGAGTTAACGATATAACAATATTTAAATATATACATAGTGGACCAGATCTAACTGACACCAATATAACTTTTGATACAATTTTGCTGTAATTTTTTTTTATTTTACAAATTTTTGCATTCATAGACTAAGTTAAACGAACAGTTATTATTATTTATCTATTATTTGACAAATCCCACAATGTGCTAAGTGCGACTTCCGGATAGAAGTACTACGTTAGTGGACACCAGGCGATACATATGTATAAACCGGAACACAAGAAGATAATGCGTTGTCAAATATACAAATATGTATTGTAAATAACAGAGGGATTTACCAGCTGCGTTTGGCGGTTAAAAAGAACGTGGCTTTGATGCAGAACGTTATCAGGCAGTCGTGTTGGTCTGAAATTGGGTCACGAGCAAAAATCAAAGGGTTGAAAACTGCGTGGGCAGAATCTAAGTAACAGCTGTTTTGTGGATTGTAAAACCGACAATAGAAATTCAGCCACCTGAATTGCAATATTTAACGGATAAATCAGTCTCGTAGATAACAATATTATTTATCTACTATTAATTATTTGTGTAATGTGCAAAAATGTAATAAGTAAACAACCTGACGGCTTTTCTTTAAAATTATCGTTTATTTTTGCAGCTATATATATTTTTTAACGAACAATATTTTTTTCTAACATAGAAAAAATGATACGTTTAAAATACAACAACGGGTTCAATTTTGATACTACAACAAAAAAAATGATAATAATTAATGTATATCTTATGCATTAAAAGTATTACGGTACAAAGCGCCAACATAGACATTTTTAACTACAACGTAAATAATATTATAGTTAGTACAAGATTATTATACCGTATGGTATATATACATAATGTATAAAATAATAGTGTAATGTAAAGGTTCGCTTTACATAATATGAAAACCATAATTGTATTGACTAGAGTCGTAAATCGCGCGTTTTTTGTGCTATACATGAGCAAACAACAAATACCCTCCTCGACGACGGTACAATCGATTCAATCAAAATATAACATTAAATTCCTTAAAAATTATAACGGATTTAAGACTAAAAACAAAAAAATACAGTAAATATTACATAAAAATAATAATTCATCACATTATAAATAAAATTTAGAGATGGTTAACAACAATGTTTACAAGTCCGATAGTTATAAATAATTTTATACATAAATTTATATAAACATATCAAATATTTATAACTCATCCACAAAAAATTAATTGATTTACACTTCATAAAATTATACACAAGTAAGGCATATTGGTAGGTAAAATGGGTGAAGTTGGAAGCGCTTGGTAATATTTTTTCACGAGAAAAAATTGTTACAAATGATTTCTTTAACGTTAATTGTGTCTATTTTAAGTTCATAAACTTTTATTCGAGACTACAGACAATTTAATAAATGCAAATTATAACCAAAAAAAAACAAAAGTTACAATATAAAAAAAATCACTTTAAACAAAAAGTACAAAATATTAAAAACAATATTATCAATGAACTTAACTTAGAAACATAAAAAATAAACTACAGTCCATTTTATAATTTGACTAATTTTAATGTAAATAGTATTTATAATTAGCGTTTAGTGTATATATTTTTACAATATATTTTTATACGTTATATTTTTATTACAAAAAAATGATTTTCAAAATATATATATTTGCATGCGGAAACACCATGGGAGACGTAAAATTAATAAAAAAATATAGCTACGTCAAATTTATAAGATATATATATATATAAATTTTTTTTTTTTTGAGCGATGATTACAGATTAAATGGAAGTAAATTGAATTGTAATCCTCGTTTGATGATTTTGTTAAAGCTGAACGGATGTGTTTTTATGATATGAAAGTATAGCAAGAATAATTTTTAATTTTAATATTACATTATTTTTTTTGGATATGCCTGTAATATATTGATAAGATAACGAAAAACGATCATTTTGTGGTAGAGTGAAAGGATAATATTGTATTTTAATTAAAAATGACAGAAAACATAATTCAAGAAGCTGAACATTAATTAACGCGTAATAAATTATATATATATGACAAAAAAAAAAGAACTAAATAAATAAAAAATAAATATACATGGGATTTCGTTGTGTGATTAAAAAAATTTCCTCCCCAGGTGCTCGGAAAACGATACTATTGCCTATTTTGAAGTTCTGTGGTAGTTTATTGGTTTGTTCTAAAAATAAAATATGAAAGAAAAACCACTAAAGCTTACGATGAAAGTTAATTATGGCAAGTGTATTGTTCTCAACCGCCCAGAAGTCAAAATATATAAATAATGCCTCTATATCAAATAAAATAAAAAAAACCGTTCGGTCACTGGTGTGTACACGCTAAGTATACTAACGATAAATACACATAACGCAGTTGCAACGATTTACATGTTTTCAGTATTTGAAGAAAAAAAAATAATGGACTCCGAATATAAAAAACAAAAAAAAAAAAAAACAATATTTATAATCTGAGATCTTTTAAGTTAAGGTAAATTAAAACATAATGTCAGTGTTAAGGCGAAAACGCGCAGTTCAGCCAAAACACACGTCCAAGCAATAAACGAGATAATTACAAAAGCAACTATCGGTACATTTTTTCTTGCTTTTGTTCTTTTTGCTCTTTTTGCCGGCCCGTTTGCTACCGCTGCCTGGCGAGTCCATTTCAGGCTGCTGGTCGTAGCCACCGGACGACCGACTCGTGGACGCTCGTCGCTTGATCACGTACGCCAAACTGGCCGAGTTTCGCTTCAGCCGAGGGGTGGCCATATATTCGAGCGTTTCTTTGGTCAGCCGCTGGCACGTCCACTTCGGGTGTTTTGGGTTCAGGATGTGCTTCATCATGACGGCAGTCTCCTGGGCGTTCAACAGCCCGCTGGGCATTGGCCCCGACAGGAACTCATTGGCCGTCATCTGAAGATACCGGATTGATAGTAACAGCGTGTCGTCCAGCACTAGCCGCTTGTTAGGAACCGTCAACTCGAGATGTTGCTGTTTGCACTTGTGCGTACACCATCGTTCTAAAGTATTAAAAAGCACCTGGAAATAAACGACAAACTTGAGAATCATACGGAAAATCCAAACGAAAATTTCCAACTATAAATTGGCGATTCGTCCGAAAACCGCCACTGGCGGAAAAACCAGAAATTATTAATATTAACTATTATCGATTGATTTTCTATCGTGTTTTTATAAAGTGCACGTGATTAAAAGACAATCTTTTTTACACGGTTCTGTTAAGTATGCTAAATTATGCAGGCGAATTTTTAGTTCATTTGATTTAATGCATAAGTATGTATTGTATCCACGATAGTACTACTTCGACAAGTACAGTGTCGTAGACTATTTAAGCGAACAGTAGTTAATATTCAGCTTAAAAACTAAATAAAAAAGGTCAACAGACAATACGTCTAAACAACAATACACCGATGTACGTAAAGATACGGTGTAATAAAAAAACACAATTTTATCGTAGGGAGCTCAGACTTATGGCCTATGACCTACCTCAAAATGCATAGTTCCAAAAAAAAAAATCATCGCAGGCACCGAATACAATTAGCGATAGGGTTTATAGAAATGCGATTTTATTTCCTTTGGAATGTGTTGAACTTACCAATTCACTCGATACTGCAAGTCCATCACGACGTAACAGCTCTCTAAGTTCTACGGTGTCTAGTTCGTCAACGCTTTCGTCGGTCATCACTCTGTCGGCGTTACGGTCGATAAAGGCACCACAATACGCCAAGAGCGTGTCATAATGATGCACCATCCGGGCAAAGGCTTCAGCGTGCGCATCTTCGCTGACGGTGGATGGCATGAGGTCTTGCAGCGGCGGAGCCGTCGCTCTCGTTACGTCTGGCGTGCAAGATTCTCGTCGCACGGTTTGGCCACCGTAAAGACGTGCCGCTTGGTACACCATGAGGACGGTGTCTACGGTAAGGTTCCGGGTTAGGTAGCTGATACATTCGTCCACCAGATCCACACACATATATTTATTGGCTAATGCGAGTGTCTCCAAAGCGGTCACCACCGACTTCAATTCCACTTGATTTTTGTACATAAACCTGAGCAAAACAACAATTACAATGATAACATTGCTATGAGACTTCTAAACAATTTTAACGTTAACTACTGAGTAAGGTTTACCCTCAAATTGAAATTTGTCAAGGTTGACAAGTAAACAAATATAATGAATTTTTTTTTTTTTTTTTACATTTTGTATTTAAATAAATTTTGTATACAAATAAAAATGATAAAATTTGTTGAATTCCCATCTTAAACCACTCATATTAACCACACGTTCAGAAAATATGTACCTGAACACTGGTACCATAAGGACCCACAACGAATTTTGAAACATTGATAAAACAACTGTCTGATTATTGGTAGTCAGACTAATATATCCCAAATCGCGTAATGATAATAAGCTACATATATAGATAATTTCATTGATCGTGATATGAGAACATTTATATAGCTGTCAGTTGATTGTGACGATCAATTTGTTTGGGATGGCACGGCGCCAAGACGATAAATAAACTAAAGATTTATCAAAAATAAAGTAAGCACTATAAAAAAGTGGCCATTATAACAGTAAGCGTTTTAATGATATCAGTCATATATCTTTCATTATGCCGAATAGCAAAGTTAAACCTAATGATTTAGTTTTGCGTTCGCACAAAATCATCATAATAATAACGACGGGCAGAAGTCAATGATCAATAACATATGTAGATATTGTCCGTTCACTTAGAATCAAATTACTATGTATGAAAAACGTTATTGAACCTTCAAAGTTCAATGTTTTTTAATAAACATAACCAGATGCCATTATTAAATGTTCGTGTAACGTATTTTATGAGAACAAACAAAAGGATATATCTAGTAATTGACGGTTCCTTTGTACGTATGTGTAACGGACATCATTATTAAGTAGATTTTACAATCAGTACCGAAATTTCAAAACGAATACACGATTTTCTATTCCTTTAAAAAAAATGTCTACACCGTCAAAAGTCTACAATAACGGAGAATAATAGCACACCATGTGGAACATACGGCGACTAATAGTCTCTGTGTTCATTTATCCCATGGTCAGCAAGACAAGAAGACGTAATTACCCTCTAGACTCCATCAGCTTATTTCATTATCCTTGTTAAACACAAAACACGACATAAATAATATGTGAAATACGGGGGGGTAAGCAGCAACTGTGTTCTTCAGCTGTCATCCGTCATGATGAATATTATGCGAAACAAAACTTAAAATATTTGTGACACAACACTCGTCCAATCTATGAATAGTCGTGACGATTGAAAGTTGGCAAAGATTGTCTAAAACATGCAACTTTTATAATCATACGATTAAACGTTTAAATTTCAAACATGGTATTTTTAACCGCGGTGACTAACGAAGAAAGAAAATCTCAAGACCTATTTCACAAACAGAAACTGTTGGATTACACGCCATAATTGTGAAATTGCTTTCTTACTTGAGGAGGTTGTCGAAGGCTCTGGGGTCGTCGTCGGGTATGTGAATTGGGGTGCCTTTTTTCGACCACGGTTCACGGAGCATAGCGTCAAAAACGGGGTACTGACATAGAACATCTATGTGGCCTGGAAACCGCCAACATTCGGGATCGCCAACTAAAAATATGACATCGCTACCCGCTTCGTTATTGTATAAATTCTTCCACCTAAAAAAATTTACTTCGATTAGTAAGTAAAAAAAATATATACATTAAGGACCATTGTGTACCCAAGATTTGTCAATAAAATGCGAATTCTGTAAAATGTGAGTTATCAATATAATTCACTATAAAAATATAATAGACTCGAATGACGTTCATGAGATACTGTTCCTTTTTTAATGATTGCCCGCCAATCGGCTATTATCGTGTGAACTTGTTTTGTGTAAAATAAAATCCAAGATACTATGACACACACAAATATTTTATACCAATAAGGGTGTAGTTACAGATGAATCGGCGCGCTCACACATTCTTGGGTTTTGGCAGGCGGAAATAAAAAAAAAAAAATGCTATTCTAAAGTATGGTGCCGCCCAGACCATGTCGGGTGGGCTGTGTGAAATTTACCAAAACACAACAACAATCAGTTTTTATTCGTAAACACATTCTTGAAACTCAGATGTCTTTCTAAAACTCCTTTTGGCAAAAAGTAAAAGGTGGAATTCCAGACTATTGTCACCCTTTTTTTTTTTTTTTGCAAGGTGCTAAATCTTCGGTTACACTTGACCCCGTGAAATTTCATAACGGGATCAATCTTATGGGTCACTACGGGGCTAAATAACATAAAACGGTAAATACAGTGAACAGTAGTGTGCTTACCTGCCATCTTTGGCTGTGTTGTTTTGATACATGATTTTGGGCGACAACTCGCGATTTTCGACCATCAACGTTCGATTCTCTGCCACTACCGGAGAAGGGGATGGTCTTCTGGTACCGCTACACAAACAAGTAATAAAAATCATATAAAAAAAAATGTTTTGAATAAAATATTACTCAATTAATGCGCAATTTGAATACATTTTTTAGAGGTAAATTTAATGACTCCTATTTAAACAAAATTTTTCATTACATTACACTTATAATTATTCTTAATTATTAGGCGCGTTGATTTCTTTAGACCTCTCCAGTAAAACCAACAGACTAAGGCGAATCAATAAATATAGTTTCATTATTTTTAAAAGAATCTAAAGAATGTACCGTTTATCATGCCACCCACTCACTGGATTAGTTAAAAGCAAAGTGATTTCGGTAATGTTTTTTTTTTATTTTTTTTTTTATAACTTCTTGATTTTTAATTATTAAGTAATTTTTATAATTCATCCCTTATAGATCTGTCAACTTCATTTTTTTAAACGGCATAAGTAACTATCCTATAAAATATAAAATGATCTAATTAACAAAATGACTGGTCGATAATAACTTTAGGATCAATACTTCTGAAATTATTAACAATTTTATAAGTAGATGGGCGATGGAGAAGGAGGAGGAGTGAAGTCGAGAAATATCTAGTGATCAAAATAGCTTCACCAGCTAAATGTTTTGTTAAATTGTAAAATACAAGCAAATGGAAGAAAATTTTCTTATGTATTTCAAATTTATTACACATAACTTTTACATGGTTAGGCGTTTAATTGCTTTTACTAGACAAATAGAGAATAATTGTCATTATTTTATTAAACTCTAAAATATAAGCTTAACAATGTGTTTTATTAGTTACAACATTATGCAAGATATATAAAATATGTGAGATTGTGTACAATAAACGTTCATAAACTATCATCTCGGAGTAAATATAAAAAAATATCTCGTTCTAACATAAAAAAAACCACTCAATGAGTTTAATAATAATATTTCATGATAATTTTTCATTAAGTACTAAACATTTTGCCATAACTTTCATATTTACTTTGATAAATGCGTCTATTTGATTCAAAAAGCATTAACTTACTCGATAAACCATCAAACGTTTATAATTAATTCCGATAAAATACGAATTTGGTCAACTTCATCAAATTAATTTAATTTAATGATTCCATAAGATACTACAGTGATCACATTGTCGCCTTCATTCGAAATGTACTTACACATGACATTATATCATGTCTGTTATTTCAAAGCTGATTTATATTACCAAATGTAAATGTACTTATAGAAATGACTCATTCGGCTCAATGTACTCGTCTAACATCAAAGTTATCAAAATTGCACACCAAAACACACATAGGCGATACTTATAATATTATAAACATAAACTAAGTTTTTTCCTGTTAGACGGAACGATAAAAGGACACTGTAAGTATTAGCGAGAACTATGAACAGGAAACCTCACCCTACTGTACATTTTTATGTGTCAAGTATGAAATACAAAATTATACTTAAGTGAAAAACCTCCTCGTCCATTATAATTCCGACTCGCATCGGATATTACTCTTTCAATGTAACTGCACATTGACATATTGTCAATAATCATACTTAGGCAGAATAGTCTGGGAATACTTTTTTAAATTATTATCTAACCTATAAAAATTATTAATAAACCTAAATCATGCAATTTATACAGTCTTCAAGTACTCGATGATTTTGTGGAGTGAGTATTTATTCTAAATACCAATATTTTAATGTGAAAATAAATTGTTCAAGTATTCTGTGATTTTGTAATTTATAACATAATTAGGAATACTTTGCAAAAAAAGAACTTTACTGAACAAAATATAAATATTCAAAATGTTTGGACATCAAATTTAATTCTCTTGGACTGATTAATGCATTTTATTTTATAAATAAAATATATAAATAGTTTTTAGATTTGATATAATGACTCAAAAAGTATTCCTAGATATTTAAAAAAGTATTCTTCACAAGTATGTCAATTATGATTTGGTATTTGCATCTACTTTAATCATTTTCGTAGAAAAATATTATGTAATCAAACGAATTAAGTCTGTTATGACATGTGTACCGAAACGTATTTTATAGAAACGAGTTCAACTTTTCCACAGTATTTCAAGACATACAATGAATCATGTAAGAGAGAAGAAAATTTGTTTAACCTCACAGGAAATGCATATCCGATACATTACAACATACTTATAATAATTAAAAATGAATTAAAGTCCAGTGGCTATACAGCATAAAATAATTACAGGGAAGAGTTATCTTTTCTTGTTTAATGAACATAATTTGCAATAACATTAAATGTATAGATATACATTTCAATAAGAATTTTTTTTAAATAGACATTTTAACATATATTTTTCAGCAATTGATGTCTGATATCAATAGAGCGCGAGGACAAAACTCCTTAAATATACAGAACAAATTCTACACATTACTAGTTCGTTTGCAAATTTACTTTTGTGCGAAATATATCAGCTAAATATTTACATAACTAGTTAATGTAAATATATTATATCAGATAACCAACAGAAAATGTTCACTGAACTTTTGAAATACTTATTATCGAAGTATAGTGTTGCCTAAGAATAACTACTATCTTTTTGTACACAATAAAAGTTAACAACTTCATATTTAAACTAAATAATATTATGTTTGCAATTTATAAATTAGATAAATAAAACATATCCTTGACAATTTGCATTTGTAAAAATGTGTGCTCGTTAGGTCTGATAGCGGTGGTAATTTTGAACGGCTAAAAATAGACATGCTGCATTCAATGTAAGACTAAATGTTAATTTTCTATCAAATATGAACGTTAGTTATTAAAAATAACCTCCTTAAAAATTACACCTTTTACCTATGTCGCTCTTTATACAGGAATTTACTTGGAGAGACATTAAGAAATATCTCTGTATAAATGATTCGTTTTATACGTTGTTATGAACACAATGTCAAACATTCAAGTTACCCGTAGCAACGTGATTTTCTTTGGTTATTTATTTTTAATCACGTTATCAGCTAAAATTCTGTACAATAAAACATCATGTAGCCATTAACTCCTAAATGAATTGGGTACGCCCGACAAGAACTCTTAAATCTCTACTATAAAAGAATACGTCAATATTATAACAATGATATTATTTTATGATTACCACTATACAAAATTATTGCTATTATATAAGATAATGATCGACTTTGTAACAATATTTATAACTGTAATTAGAAAATATTCTATTTTACAGTAATTTAAGTTAACAGACTGGCTGATTAGACGTGTTTTATTTGAATATTTTATTTTACTTGATGTTTTTACTTTTAGTCATGTAAGAACTAAACTACTATTTCACCAATAATTTAATGTAAAGTCAAAATAAACTCTCTGTTTTATCATTCAGAAGTAATTTTTATAAATATTAACATATTGGAATATATTCATAATATTTAAACTGTGAAATAACGAATGTATATATTATTTTGACAGACTAAACTCATAAGAAAAACCGTGAGTTATAATTATAACCATTTAAAACAAAAATGTTGTAAAAAAAGAAAATCAAATTTTGTTTCAATTAAAAAGGAACATTAAAAAGTTTATTTAAACGTTTTATTGGTAGTAAAAACGGCCCAGAAAAATAAATTTCAATAAAATTATTTTTATAGACGAGTTATTTAAAAATTTGTAAAAAAAACTATTATCATACTTTCTCAATTTATATAAGTAAACATTAATTTAAAATGTTGAAACTATAAAAATTGAAACGATATATGTTAATCTTGAAGCAATTATAAAAGTAATTTAAATACAATAAAAAGCTATATCAACTATTATCTCATATTTAAATGTTTTTTTTCGCATTTGAGTTTTGCTTAGGATAATTTACAAACTTAAAGTAAAAAAAAAATATATAATAACAGCAATAGTACGATACGTTTTAGAGTTATTGTCAATTGAAACCAATAAGAATGTAATATTTAAATGGCGTTTCATTTTCACCGTCACCGCATTTATTAAGCAGCGAGTTGGTAAGTCCTTTAACGTCAACGAGTACATTATTCACACGTTTTATTTACACGTTATTCGCATCCTTGTGTTTTTTCTCGGCGTCGGTGTGTATATAAATACACCTATGGACGTTCGACAGTGACTTTTTATTTTGCAAAACCTATTGCTACGCTCCGATTTATCGCGTGTGCAAACGTTTTCGATCAACTGTAAAGGTCTCGTTGACCTATTGGAAATACTGGACGGGAGAGAATGTATATAGTTCTTAAATTAAACGCGGCCATTTATAGTGAAGTTTACCCAGTGAAAAAAACCGCACGCATAATATTAATAATGCACGAAAATAGACGGCCTAAAAAGACGACTGTTCTCTTCGCGGCGGTCCAATGGAAACCATTAAAAATAAAAAATCATAAACTGCGGCGGTGACCCGCATGTGTATTGTAATGCGATCGTTGCCAAATTCTGGACCAACGCTGTTTTCAAGCTCATCGCAACAATTAGCGTGCGCATTATTTGGGAGTGCACAATTCGTATTTCGATAGACGAAAAAACGGCGGCCGAAGTATAAAAATAAGACAAAATTAAAAACAGTAGATTTTCGAAAAACACGCGACACTTATTTTTTATTGTTAACGTCCAAAAATCGTAAACCATAATGTGCACGCGAGTGTTTACATAGCGAGTAGTGTGTTAACCGGCGGCCGGTAGTATTCCACAATTCAGTTATTATTCCAAATCGGTACGTTTTTTATGTACGGGAACACAACACGAGCCCACAGAACTCCGGTAATTACACCGTTTTATTATTGTTATTTCTTCTGAAGTTTTCATTTTCGAACGGCTGGACAACAAGTGGGACGCAGCAGAGCAATAAACGGTGCACGTCATGATCGTGTCGTACGTCGCCGCCGCCGTCGGTTACCGCGCGCCCGAGGGAGAGATGCGTTTACGAAACGGGTCACCGCCTCGTCCTCCTCGCTCACCAACACAATAACAATATATTACACACGCGGTACACGTCGATTACATTATCCAGTGTTATTATAGTCCCGTCCACCGGATCGGTGCCGTTAAAGAAGTACATATTATCTGTCCGGCCGCGTACGCCGACGGTTCACGAGTCTTTGTGTCGCCCGCGAACGCGTGTCGTTCGACACGAGTCCAAAAAGTGGGCATTACTCCGGCGGACGATTCTTACCGTCTATTGAAACGACGGGCACATGCGCGTCCCATGCGTGTTTTCGAGAGTAATGTGTTCGCGTCCGTTGAAATGAGGCGGCGATTGCGTTTTTCGCAATTACTCGTTTTACATTACTCGGCGACACGTATTTGCAACCGCCCTAGTGGTTATTGATCGTGTGCACTACAACACGAGTTTTCACGATTAACCAAATGATTATGTTATCGCGCGGAATAAAAAAACATCGAGCGCGACATTCCGCAGTACTACAATATCAGAGCACGCATCAGATATTACCAGCGTACAATCGGAAAATAATTAATTACCCGGTTACGTGTGGAATCGTAAATCATAATATGGAAACGCATAGGAGATACCACCACACCATCCGATAGGTCTCAAATAAATTAAATCTTTCACAGTGCGCCCGTCGTTGGGTTATGATGTCCGACTTTTCGTTTTAAACCGTAAAATTAACTCTGCGTGCAGTATACTGTGTGTTTACATCGTTTTACTGTTAATACATTTGTTAAGAGCAGATTTGTTTTTTTCAATAGTGAAATATCATTTTACCGAACGACCGCGTTTAATAGTCACTAATTCTGAATAATCAAGTGGTATTGCAACGAACGTGATATCTTCTCGGACAACACCGAGTGCATTAAATTTGTCCATATCGTGTTTACTATTTTTTTCAATACCGATTCGTTTACACGTCTAAAAGGAAANCAATACCGATTCGTTTACACGTCTAAAAGGAAGTGTATCGCGGTGAAATAAAAAAACCAACAATTCATTAGTATCTCAAACGTTTATTCGTGTTACCGCTAAATAATAGAAAACGTCAAGGAACGAATAATTACTACCACGTTAATAATAATATCGACACGGAACTGTACAAAACACTCGACAGGATATTCTGATCGAATATATTACACTGTAATATTATTACGGCGTATTCGTCGCAAGGGATGTTAAGTGTATCCGACAACTTTATTTGACCGTAAAAAACGAATATGAAATTGCGCAAGTTTAAGACTCCGACGGTTATTAAATCGCGTGTTTGTTTGTTTACTGGCCATAAAACACTGATGATTTATTCACTGTTGGTACACTTTACACGCGTAAAATACAAATGTAGCAGCAATAGTTCAATAATTTATAGAACGACCAACCGACTCATAATTTATAATCGGCTCGGACCAGCAGGAAACGAACACGGAACACAATAATAAAATCAAAACGGTCGTAGGTGACATATGATAATTCATTCATAAAAATAGTGTCGGCCGGTAAGCGAATCGGCTGGTTTGAAATTTTTAGAAACGACACAGACGATTCTAAAACTATTAACTTTGGGCGACAAATAAGCATCGGACTCACTCACCTAAGTCCCATAGTGTGTCGCGTGCTGTCTCTGGGAAAAATGTTCAATTGGAATATACGATTGCCCCGAAAATGACGCGCACTAATTAACGTACTTGACGCACGCGAAAAATGCGCCGTCGGCGGTACGCATCGTTGGGAATATAATAGAAAAAATTTCCCGGAATTTTTTTTCCGACTAAAAATTCACAAAAAACAAATAGCACATACGTTGTGAACGACTCGTGACGAGCAATTCGGACCGACGGTAACTACCGAAACGGAGAAATTTCTTGTGACTATCGACCGACCGATTTGTGCGTGAGGAGATGGTGCGCAAAATGATCCTGTTAAAAATTCGATATCGATCACGCGTAGATCACTATTCGGCGGACGTCTACTGGCAACGGGCACGCTGTCGAAGCCGTACGAATGCCGGCGAGCACTGAACGGTCCGTCGGATGGACGTGGACGCACGCGATAAGGGTGCGGGCGGCGTCGTCGTCGTCGCCGGAGAAACGGCCGGCTCCGTCCCCACCGCTCCGTTTTCGGCCCGGTGCAATTGCCGCCGGCGGCCACGGCAGTGCCATGTTTCATAGGTGAGCGAGCGGCGGCGGCGGCGGCCACTACCACCGCAGACCAGGTCCACGGAGAGGGTCAACGTACATTATTAACGTTTTTATAATATCGTCGTCGTCGTCGGCGTTTGTGTGTATTGTTGTTGTTATTATTATTATTAGAGCACACGCGTTTATAAATTATAATACCAGCGGTACAACGATATCCGAACGTCGGCAACAACAACCGAAAATCTCAATTTTAGTCATAAGCTTTCGTAGAAATCCCCAGCGATTCCGTTCTGACAATTTCCTTGCGGTGATAAGAATAAATTCAAAAGTTCTCTGTTGAACACTTGATTACTACATTTGTAACACCACAATGAGTTCATAATCAATATTTTGGACGTCTATGTGAAAAATACGAAAGTCTTTGTTGTTCAAAGAAAAAAAACTCCTACTTATCTTTCTTGTTCGGCCAATAGTACGGGTACTGGTTAAACATTTATAATTTTAATCACTGGAGCCATCACTTATTTGAAAATAGCTTTTCACAAGTAAACTAAAAAGAGATTGCGATTATTTTTTTTATTTATTAACTGTGTATTGTTATCTTAAAAACATGTAATACTGTTATATGTTATTAGTTGGTCATATTTTTTATGGATATCACAATCCTATTTATGATTACCCCAGAAATATTATAACTCAAGTTTATTTAGCTAATANATCCTATTTATGATTACCCCAGAAATATTATAACTCAAGTTTATTTAGCTAATAAAAAATATTTAATTGAATTTTGATTTTGTGAAATAATATACATTAATTGAAATCAAACAAAACCGGTGCTAAAAGTCACGGGGCCTTGTAAAAACATTATTTGCCAAGCTCTTTAAAAATTTAGATAAAGAGAATGGCAGCTATTTTATGAATTTTCGAGTTCTTTTAAAATTTGCTAATTTTTTTAACTTACCAATGTAAAAGTGATTGAAGGGTATCTATTTTTTTCACGCACATATGTGAAAAATTATTATTAACTCTGAAATTTGTAAAATTTCAGAATAATTTATGAATGAATTTTTCAACTACTTTGAAATACTTTTCCAATTGTTTAATATCCAATAAAATGTTATGGGTTTAGAGTTTTTTAAATTATATACCTCTGTAATTTAAAAATTTATTCATTTTGAAAACAAATAAAATAAATATTCTAATTTTTTTTTAAACACTTTATATGTATTGGTTTTAATTGTAAGACATTTTGTATGCCTACATATAAAATTATATAATAACTGAAAAGTAAATAAACAATTTTTTTATATGAATAAAATTTAATATGTTTTAATTATATAGACATATCCAAATGTATTATAAATACTAAAATATCACTATGCGTTTTAACCTAAGCTGTTATCAGGTTACTTAAATAATTAATTAATATAAATGTTATTAAACAAAATTTACTGAATAAATCGAATGAGCTCTTAGTATCATTAATATACACTTTTGTAACTTTAATATCATAATTTATTATTAATAGGCGGAGATGAACAAAGAACAAAACTGTTTTTAAGGACTAAACGTTTTAATTTATTTTTTACACGAAAGTTTTAATAACTACTCATATCACTATCACTCCCTCTTGAAAAAAAAATTATCCTTTGAAATTGATCATATTTTTTAAAAGCCACAGGGTTATTACATACATTTTAACTGTTACACTCTGTAACTTTACATAATTTTTTTTTACATTTCCTGTGTAATTTCAATTAACCGATATTTAATAAGGTCTTTTATTGTATATTTATTCTTGCCAACAGGATCATTAATAATTCATTAAATATAACCGCAAATTATAATTAATCAGGAACATTTTGTCTTCTCTTATTAGCTAATACAATAAACATAATTTATAGGAAATTTTTAATAGTCAAGCAGGTGAAAATTAGTACACAGTTAAACATAATATCCGTTTGTAGAAATTTTATTAATATAGTATTTAAAATTATTATTTCGATTTAATATATTTAGTGAAATTAAAATGAAATAGTTTTCATTTTTACTAATTAAATTGGAGTTATAGAAGCACTAGTCTTTTTGAAAATTGCCCGTGTATTTTAAAACAGATTTGTCAATATATTTTTTTTAACGATCGTTACTAAGTTCAAATTATAGTTTGTGCTACTATTTTTCGCAACCAAACTTATAAACTCTGTGAAGGAACTTGAATGATTCTATTTGGGTCATGTGAAAATGCATTGCTAATTTATTGTTTTGGTTAATGTATTTCAATCAATGAATGTATGATTAATTATTCTCACTAACTACTCGCTAATCTTATTGTATAACGTGTGATACGTTATATTTTACTTGGTCTGAGTACTATTATAATTCACGACGTAGAGAACCCAAACTTCAAGTTAAAAATCAACGGAAAATATTCACATACAAACAATAAAATAATATTAAAAATTACCTATTTGTGTAAACTATATTATATTATTTACACATTTTGAATTAAACCAAAGTAATAATTTGTGGTCTCATGGCAGCCCAGTCTTCTTTTATCTAAGTCTCGACACCGACAATTATTTCTAATAAAACCAAAATAATAGACTTAATAGTACGAGGCAATTTTAATAAACACAAATTACGTTTAATCTATAAATATTCAAAATTGTAAAAATGTTTTAAGAGCACTATTGACAATAAATGTTGTTATTATAACATAAAAATTTCCGTTGTACCATATCATAATTTTTTCTAGCGCGTGAAATATTTAAAACAAGATTTTACTGCCTCTTTTGTCACCTATTACAAAAATCGAGTTCGTATCTGATGAACAGTTCCTTACACTTATAGATTGATGTTAATATACAATTTAATGATTTTTGTTTAAGAACCATGCATTATTAATTAAACGAAACTGCTGTTCGTTATAATAACATCAGTTATTGGACCAATTGACAATGTTGTTGAACGCTCGAACCAATAATTTCATTAGAGATGTTAGGACATATAATTTATGTGTGGGAGTAATGTATCTTCGTCCCTACATTGTATTTTATCGTCTTAAAATAAACAATTACGATCCTTCGTCCTGGGAAAACACAAAAAATTAACCATAAGTCCTTATGGCTTCGTGTATTCTTTCACGAACAAGTGTTTGAGTCAATTGAATGAGGGCAATGGGGTTGTCTGGTCCTGTCCATACTACCAGTTCTCGTGCGAAACGCATACACGTTTGTTGAGGAAATTGCATTACTTAATATGTGTTCATTGTTTTAGCCCGTATGGTTTTATTAAAAAACAAGTAAACCAAAGGGTTTTTAAAAATGCATCATAATTGTCATCATAGTGCTTTGTGCGGTATACGTAATACAAACTGATAAATGATTATTCAATGAGATACTTGAAAATTATTCTATTTTATGAAAAAATTATTCCTATACCAATTTATCCAATGACCAATAACGAATATTAGACTAAGAATGAACACTATTTCAAAAAGATATGAACCTCAGATGAAGTCATTTTCTTTTTTAATACGCTTGACAATTTTTTTTTTTTTACATCCAATTCAACATAAAACTTTGACCTTCGCTTTTTGTGCTTTTTACAGTAAACTTACAATTCAACTATTCTTTCTTTCTATTCATTAAGAAAATAATACTCCAGCAAAAAATATCCTCTGTTTGCGGTTCAAACAAATGATTTCACATTATGCAGATTTTGAGGCCAAAGTAGCTGTATTTTAATTTAAACGTGAAAAGTTAAGGCTATTTCTTGAAACTAAAATCGATTTTGTGCAAATCATCGATGAAAAGTTCATTTAGATTGATCGTTTCTGCTCTTATTTTAGGTCAAGAATACATTTTTATAATTGTAATTTTAATTGAAATAATAGTAACAAGTATTCATAGTCATTATCATGATTTGCTATACTTTGATAACCGCATGTCCGCCTTGACTGACTGTGATATATTATAACAACTAGGTGAAAAATGTACGTTAACAGTTATAATACATGCATGTTATACGATGACCGTGTTCATAATTTAGAAAATATCCTTTATGAGATTTTATAGCTTAAAAATGTTCATCCGACATTGCAGTGTAAGTCGCTTTTTGCACCAATTATTGCAGTACTATTCTTGCGTGTACTCGTATAGAAAACACGTAAACAAGGGCGAAGGACACTCATATGTAGATAATGTCTGTTTATGTATGTCCAAAACCACAGGACTTAAAAACCACTACACACGTTTTATATTCAAACATACTTTTTCATAAGTAACAAATAGACAACTGGCCGAGAAATTTCCGATGATTATTAATGGTTCTCGTGTACGCAAATGTAATAGACACGTACAGCGCACACCCGTTTGATTTGATCTTTTCTCGCGGGCTTATTGTACAGTGTACAAGTGAATAAAAAAATCTCATAGGATGCCTACAGAACATAATTCGAGTATCCAAGTGATTGCCCAACACTGCACCTGACCCGTTTCAAGAGTATCAAGGACTAGGAGATAGTTTAAACATATTATTGAAGTCGTAGACAGGTAATAATATGTCAATTAATATTGTATTAAAATATAGCGCTTCGGAGTGTGTCATTTGGCAAAACTGAAAGAAAAACGATAGAACTCCGTTCTATGACTATAAGTACCATAAAAATATACACACATAAACTTAGAAATGTAACTGGAGAGTTTTTTAACCGGTGGTAAAATTTTTTGTGTATTAATTAAAAAGAGTGTATGTTCAGTTACAGAGACGACCACTTGGGTTTTTAATACCTAATCTATAACAGCTGCGTTGGTAAGCATGTGGATTCTCATGGCATAAACATGCTCGCGAGGTCAATCGACAAAGTATTCCACCAGCCTTAAAAAAAGACAAGTTAAGGTTTTATTTCGTATAAACTAAAATCG